CCACATTATTTGGTCCCGTTGAGATTTGAGGAGGAACTATATATAACAAATATCATTTAGAGTAGATAAAATAAAATATGAGTTCTCGTCACACTGCAACACATGGGAAGTAAAATCTTAATTGAATGATGAACAGGTGTACTTGCCCTGTAACTGTTTTACCCTATTTCTGCCACAATATACTGGACAAAGCCGCATAACTATAAGTCGAAGCAACAAAGCAGCACACTGCCCACCTTGGTTGTCTTGGTAATATCAAAGGTTAGTGGGGAAGGGGATCTTTGCGAAAACGAAATGTACAAAGGAGAACGCTAAGCTAATACAGTACTGCCCATGCATGACGTTTTGAAGGACTAGTTGACTACAAAACAGGTATTTTCACACAGCATTTTGCTAATCTAGTCAACTTCAACGTCCAGTAATTGTCAACATTCCTTGTTCCCATAGAACGCTAGCTTGTACTCACTTTTTGTTGAACTAGCCTTTCTTATTTTGGTCTTTTCTTCACCTAGTACTTTTCAAATTGGCAGGCTACCCGTTCCGGGTTCGGAAATGTGTTGGAACTTGATGTCAGGATATCAAAATGTCTCAGTACTCTGTCAGCGTTGTGTCTAGTGGTGGGACGTTCGCTTTTTATAGTTGTACGGAATCTAATCACAGCGGTAGACATTTACCCTGAACTCGTATACATATTTTCCTTTCCGTCTTGCATTGACTGTATATGTGGCTCATCATCAGAGTTTAATTTTCATGTTATTATTATTTAAATAGCCGTCGAGGCGACAATAGTTTTAGAATTGCGATCAACAGAACGAGCTGAACCGACATTTTTACAAAGGCTTTTATTGTATTAAAAAAACGAGTGGATACGAAGGCAGTGAAGAACATGGAAGAAAGAAAAAATGTGATATGGAAGAAATGATGAACAAAAAATGTTGTACTTCGAACTAGTTTTCGCACAACACTCCTCAGGAAGCTATGTTGTACTAATGAAAAACAATCCCCAAAGATACTAATAAAGAGAAATGGAGTGAGAAGAAACAACACCTATGAAAATGATAATCCTAGCACTAAGGTAATAACCGGAAAAACTGCGAAAGCACTTAACGACCTTGTAAAGACTACTAGTATACTGTGACACAAGATATGACACCATGGCCAACCAGGGCCAAACAGACAGAACAAGCTGCTACTAGAACAATTTCAAACGAATAATGCTGTCCTTCTGGACACACAGATTAGGCTTATGAATACGTTGACAAACAGCTTCTAACACACTCAACTGCAACTTATAACCATGACGAGCACGGCACAAAACAGAAAAGAAGAATCAGAATACACCTTGCAGCAATCAGGACGAGATGCAAGATGCTTATACACTGATGACTTCCTACTAGAAAACACACGCTCGCACCCACTCTTACTCACACAATCATTCTCGCTCTCACACTCACCGGACTCACTGGACTCACTGGCCGAATCCTCCCCAACGACGTCTTTTTGTGCTTACCATGGAAGGGCAAGAAGTCTGACAATGTGAGTCGTGAAGTTCGTGCGATCATCAAACAAACCTACTATGCCGTACACTTCATACCCGTCTACACAACGATGCGTTCATTCACGGTGTTGAAGGACGTCCTACCAACCCATCATTTAAGTCATGTAATCTACAACTTTGAATGCCGGAATTATGCTAGCCGGTATGTTGGTAGGACTGTTCAGCACCTGAGCGAACGCATCAAGCAACACACTCCTTTACACATTATCCCACGTAGCGCACAACTGGAGCGTCCCACGCGGGGAAGACCCCGTAAACAACCACTACCTCCGCCAACACAGGACCTAGCGTCCCACTCGGCAAGTCCACCATTGGCTCCCGTGGCCATGACCAAGTCACTCCCTCCACCAGCGGAGGTGGATGTGGCTTTGGCGACGCCACGTGTGTTGCATGCAGACACGTTTGCGTCATCATCGCTTGCTGCATCACCGGCAGAGACGACAACAATACCTACCTCAATATCAACGAGACCCAGAAGAACAACTGCGAATTACACCATGACCTATTTCAGTACGGAAGTACAGAGCCAACGGAATGCACAACAGGAGCGTGAGACAAGGGATGGGAGGAGACGGGACCTGATTGCTCCAAGGCAGGACGTCGTTGGGGAGGATTCGGCCAGTGAGTCCAGTGAGTCCGGTGAGTGTGAGAGCGAGAATGATTGTGTGAGTAAGAGTGGGTGCGAGCGTGTGTTTTCTAGTAGGAAGTCATCAGTGTATAAGCATCTTGTATCTCGTCCTGATTGCTGCAAGGTGTATTCTGATTCTTCTTTTCTGTTTTGTGCCGTGCTCGTCATGGTTATAAGTTGCAGTTGAGTGTGTTAGAAGCTGTTTGTGAACGTATTCATAAGCCTAATCTGTGTGTCCAGAAGGACAGCAATATTCGTTTGAATTTGTTCTAGTAGCAGCTTGTTCTGTCTGTTTGGCCCTGGTTGGCCATGGTGTCATATCTTGTGTCACAGTATACTAGTAGTCTTTACAAGTTCGTTAAGTGCTTTCGCAGTTTTTCCTGTTATTACCTTAGTGCTAGAATTATCATTATTATTTTATTTTATTATTATTCCACAATCACGATGACATAGTGCCAATAAGCATGTGATGCGGGCGATTTTAACCAGCCATGGTGGGGACAACTGAGAAAAAGAAGGAGAAGAAAAAGAGAAAAGAAAACAAAACAAAAGGAGTACTATAGGAACCTGGAGAGAGCAGCATGAAGATTAGGCTAGCAATGGAAAACAACGAATTCAATTCAATTCAACTTAGGCGCGGGCAGAATGGAACAAAATGCAGCGAAGGTGTCACGAGACTTAACCTCCTGCGGAAGCCGAGACCAATGAGAATAGGACTTGAACAGAGGGGATTTTAAAAGGATCGATGACCTGGCAAGTGGGAAATGGAGAGAACATCTAGTACGGGAGCTATTATTGAACCAGCTTAAATGCGCAAGTGCATGAGGAGGAGCAAGTTGAAGCTTAATACGGTGAATGAATTTGCATGCCGAGTGGGGAAAGCGTTCTGAGAGAGGGGAAGAGGAAGCCAAAATGTATAGCGTCTGAGAGGAGGTCAGAGGGGGCATGCGAAATATTAATCGAAGTAATTTACGGTGGGTGACTTCTAACTGATGCATAAGAGCGGAGGATAGACCGGAGGACCAAACAAGAGAGCAGTAATCAAACAAGGGAAGAACATAAGAGTGATAAATTTGTATTCAACAACCATGGTGTAGATGGGAGATGTGAGGAGAAATGCAGCCTATCGCGGAGCAAACTGTTACAGATATATTTGCAACAGATATCTTTGCAACTGTCGTTCTCGTAGCCATGGCTGACAGTTCAATCCTATTTTAAGCTCGGATTTGCACCGATGAGGCCTAATTGACCGAAACAGTCTGGCTGTCTGCATCATTGGGCGCTTTCGATTACCCGTTTGCACAATTCTGGAACTGTTTTTTTAATTCTGGAAGGACCAGAATGAGCGTATTCCGGCCTTGTAAACGAACGACTGGAATTCACAACGCATTTTATTCATGTCATGTCACAAGCGAAATTGACGAATCGCAAAAAGAGATCACGTACACCCTCGCGATCGATCGGGCGCACGTGGACCTAGCATCACGCACACGCCGGCCAGGGAGGCTCTTCGCGCGCTTGAGTCATGACCAAACCGCTAACACACCGACAGTGCAATTCTGGCGCAAGAATTAGAGAAATTCCGCCTTCTCTTCAGAATTGATGGGTTCGACGGAATTGGATAAAATCAATTCTAACGACGGAATTTGTCACTTTTTGTGTAATCGAACTGTGCATCAACATTAACTAATTCTAGAATTGACCGAAATGCGTGTAATCGAAAGCGCCCATTGAGTATTTCGCTCCCCGATTTCGGTTTTGTGGAGCACTCTCAATAGGACGCACTCCTCTTGGTTAGCTTTATGCTTTGCCCGCGACTTCTGGCAGTTTGAGCACTGTCAGCGCTAGTACATCGAGCTGTCCTAATGTCTGTGGTTCTCGTAGCCATGGCTGACAGTTCAATCCTATTTTAAGTTTGGAGTTGCACTGACGAGGGTTCATTGGCCGAAACAGTCTGGCTGTCTGCAATATTGGATATCCTAGTGAAGCAGCGGCGAAGGGCCTACGCGGGAAGTATAAAACATAACAACCACGCACTCACAAGCAAGGAGAGTTCCACGTTCTTTAACCTGACCGGTTTCTGTGACATGAGTCACTTCATCAGAGGAATGAAGATAGATGACTTAACACAAGCATCTGCATGCCGCACTCACACAACGAGCAACCAGTTTGGGGAATAGGAGGGTTTGTCAATTGCTTTGCCAGGCTCCGAGTGAGTGACAGCTTAGAGCTGTGTGAATGTGTGTGTATGGCAGCTGGGCAGGGCCCTGCTGCGGAGGCTGAGTGAGCCGTATGGAGGCAGCCGGGCAGGGCCCAGCTGCGGAGGCTGAGTGAGCCGTATTGAGAGGCTGAGTGAGCCGAGGCTGAGTGAGCCGTCTGAGTGAGCCGTCTGAGTGTTAGAGGCTGAATGAGCCGTATGAGGAGCCTGGTAAGCAAGGTTGACTCCCCAAATAGAGAACCTCCTATTCACTGTTAACTGTAGAGAGGGTGCCACAGATTGTGGACAATAGTAGAGTGATATTGAGTTACTTAGTGTACAGTCGGTACATTGGTGACATTCGGTTGTGCTCTGGCACCCACAATAAGTGGGCTCAGTCTGTCTGATCAGCCCTTACCCAGGACCGGTGCTGCCAGCTTTCATGGCAGTTTGCATGTGGACTTTCATCACTCGGCAGTGCAAGGCACGGCCGAAGTCTCCCCAGGAATGGACGGAAGAGCACGCACGGGAGTGGGCATGTGAGCGGCGGTAGGGTGGCACAAATGGAATCGCTTGAAATCTTGCCTGGAGAGAGCGTCAGCAAGGATGTTGGTAGTTCAAGGTATGTGACGGGCGGTGACCATAAAGTTACCCTTGGCGCAGATGAAGAAGAGCCGCCGTAGGAGTGACATCACATTAGGGCAGCGACTGGTGCCTGACTTGAGAACAGCGGTGACATCTTCGTTGTCGGTATGGAAGCGGATACGCTGGCGACACCACTGGTGGCCCCACGTAGCACATGCAATGGAGATGGGATACAGATCCTTGAACGTAATGCAGAGCGGAGTGTGTTGTGGTGACCAGGTGTCAGCGAACCAATGCGTGCCGTAAACTGCGCCATGCCCAATGGCGCCAGATGCGTCAGCTTCTATTAGGATGTCGCTGGCCAGCGTCTCCTGGAGATCGAGGAAGAATGACTTGCCATTCAAGCCATCGAGTAGGTGAGACCACCAAAGCAGGTCCAGATGACATTCTGGAGAGAGACGGATGCGGTGGTAGGGCTTGGAAACGTTGAGCATGGCATCATACAGTCGGCGCATGAATGTACGGCCCGGCGTAATGACGCGGCTGGCAAAGTTCAGCTTGCCCAACAGCTGTTCAAGCTCCCGTAGACGGCAGGATTGGCGTTGGCGAAAGGCCAATAGTCTGAAGCGGATGTCGTCAACCTTGTCCTGTGGGAGACGAGCCACTTTCTGGACGGAGTCCAATTCGATGCCCAGGAAGGTGAGACAGGAGGTTGGGCCGACTGTTTTTTCGTCGGCAATGGGAACTCCCAGGTAGCGGAATACGGAGAGGACTACGTTCAGACGCTGCGCACATAGCGTTGAGGTCGCAGGGCGACAGAGCCAGAAGTCGTCCAGAAGGTGCAGGAGGTGGGGAACCTGGAACAGTTCACAGTTTATCTGGCAAAGTGCGTCCGCAATGCAGTTAAACAAGTAGGGTGCGGCCTCAGCCCGAATGGCAGTACTTTGTCATAGTAGAATTGGCCCTGCCACTGGAAACCCAACAAATGGTATGCAGTGGGCGCGACAGGGACCAGTCGAAATGCATTGCGTATGTCGAGCTTCGCCATCAAGGCACCGGTACCTTGACGTTGCAGAAGCTCAATGGCATCGTCCACTGTGACATAATGTAGGGAGAACGAGTCCTTGTTGTTTCCATCATTGACAGACATACGATCAGGGTAAGACAGGTGGTGAATGAGGTGGAGTTTCCCGTTGTTCTTGGGCACTACGCCGAGCGGAGAGCATAAAAATGGGTGGAAAGGCTGGACAGAGAAAGGACCGGCCGATTCGTCACGTCGGACCCGGTCAGCAATTTGTTGTTGTACAAACTGAGCATGTTCAATGACAGTTGGGAGGTTGCCAGAGATGACAGATACAGAAGCACCCGAGTGGCCAATGGGGAACCCGTGTTGCAAGCCATTAAGGATAAAGTCAGAGAGGACACGATTAGAAATACGGGCAAAAGAGTCATTCGGCGGGCTATGTACAGAGGCGTGGGGAGACTACTTCGCTGCGACGGGCTTGTCTGTCTGGCGGGGTCCCCGGCGAACGTCGTTGGTGCAGCAAGCGGCGGGATGACCTCGGTCGCCCCAGGTTGAGCAGACGTGCAAGCGTTCACAGGGCTGGTGTTGGCAAGGGCGGCCACGGTTGAAGTTGAGGCAGATCTGGCGGGTGCTGCCCGCCCCGGCCAGGAATGGCTGCGTATTTCGGCTGGTGTTGGTGCCAGCTGGAGCATGTGGCCCTGCCAAATACTGTGGGCAACGGTCACAACTGTGGTGCGTTGTGCAGCGCGAACATGATGGGCGGGGTGCCCGGATCAGGTGCAGGCTCCAGAGGCTTTGGTCGATTGCGTCCCAACGAGCCGAGGTTGTTGCCGCCGCTGCACGGAAGGCACGGTCATACCCCAGTACAGCTGGGGTCGCAAACTGCTGGTTGGCAGTACAGATAATGTGCTGATACGTCACCAGCTCCAGTGCTCGGAATGGCACATGTTTCAGTGCGCAGGCCATGTAGATTGTGTAGGCTTCCAGCCAGCCAGCCAGGCAGTGAAGTCGACAATGGAGCGCTTCTTAGTCACACATAAATTGAGGGACACACGCAGGCCCTCTCAGTTGGCGGTACTGAGCTCCAAGGGCTCGGACCATGCGCCCACATTATCCGGGAGGAGATCCTCCGACTTAATATATTCGCCGCGTGTGATTTTGTCGAGCAACTTACGCGGGACCGTGGGAACAATAGAGCTGGACTCAAGAGTGATCGCCATGGGCGCTGCCATCGGAGGCAGCGCGGGTTGCATGAGGGAAATGTCCATGGGGCCGGAGTCGACCTGCGGCGGGTGATGGGTGACGGTGTTGGACGCGGTTTGGACCACATCTGCCACTGAGGGGACCGCCGCCTGATCAACGCTCATTGGTGCGTTGTGCAGCGCGAACATGATGGGCGGGGTGCCCGGATCAGGTGCAGGCTCCAGAGGCTTTGGTCGATTGCGTCCCAACGAGCCGAGGTTGTTGCCGCCGCTGCACGGAAGGCACGGTCATACCCCAGTACAGCTGGGGTCGCAAACTGCTGGTTGGCAGTACAGATAATGTGCTGATAGGTCACCAGCTCCAGTGCTCGGAATGGCACATGTTTCAGTGCGCAGGCCATGTAGATTGTGTAGGCTTCCAGCCAGCCAGCCAGGCAGTGAAGTCGACAATGGAGCGCTTCTTAGTCACACATAAATTGAGGGACACACGCAGGCCCTCTCAGTTGGCGGTACTGAGCTCCAAGGGCTCGGACCATGCGCCCACATTATCCCGGAGGAGATCCTCCAACTTAATATATTCGCCGCGTGTGATTTTGTCGAGCAACTTACGCGGGACCGTGGGAACAATAGAGCTGGACTCAAGAGTGATCGCCATGGGCGCTGCCATCGGAGGCAGCGCGGGTTGCATGAGGGAAATGTCCATGGGGCCGGAGTCGACCTGCGGCGGGTGATGGGTGACGGTGTTGGACGCGGTTTGGACCACATCTGCCACTGAGGGGACCGCCGCCTGATCAACGCTCATTGGTGCGTTGTGCAGCGCGAACATGATGGGCGGGGTGCCCGGATCAGGTGCAGGCTCCAGAGGCTTTGGTCGATTGCGTCCCAACGAGCCGAGGTTGTTGCCGCCGCTGCACGGAAGGCACGGTCATACCCCAGTACAGCTGGGGTCACAAACTGCTGGTTGGCAGTACAGATAATGTGCTGATACGTCACCAGCTCCAGTGCTCGGAATGGCACATGTTTCAGTGCGCAGGCCATGTAGATTGTGTAGGCTTCCAGCCAGCCAGCCAGGCAGTGAAGTCGACAATGGAGCGCTTCTTAGTCACACATAAATTGAGGGACACACGCAGGCCCTCTCAGTTGGCGGTACTGAGCTCCAAGGGCTCGGACCATGCGCCCACATTATCCGGGAGGAGATCCTCCAACTTAATATATTCGCCGCGTGTGATTTTGTCGAGCAACTTACGCGGGACCGTGGGAACAATAGAGCTGGACTCAAGAGTGATCGCCATGGGCGCTGCCATCGGAGGCAGCGCGGGTTGCATGAGGGAAATGTCCATGGGGCCGGAGTCGACCTGCGGCGGGTGATGGGTGACGGTGTTGGACGCGGTTTGGACCACATCTGCCACTGAGGGGACCGCCGCCTGATCATGGCCGTCCGGATCCTGGCAAGCTGAAATTCGCTCCTCAAGGAGCTCGACTCCGGTCTCTGTTCTTGTGCCTCGGTGTTAAGTTAGTATTTTATCCTTATGTGCAGACACGAAATTATCATTATCTTACATGCCCAGAAACACTGTGGCTGAAAATATCTTACCCAAGATAGACAGCATTAGGGTTACATTGACAGTACGTATCATGTGACTGCTGCCATCAAATCCAGTATTGTTCACACTGCTCACACATGTGTAGTGCCCACGGTCAGCATATTTCACATTCGTTAAAGGTCGCATGCTGGTATAAGATGCTGGCGAAGTTCTGTTTCCAGACGAGGTCATAGTTGTATTGATCTGAGTGTGTGGAAGCTGAACACCATCATGGTACCATTCTATTTTTGGACTAGGGTATCCGTATGAAGTGCAGGTAAATGATGAAGAGGACGATCCTTCGACCAATGCCACCTTACTTGGTCCCGTTGAGATTTGAGGAGGAACTAAATAGAACATGACAAAAAGAAAATGTCACCGCACTTACGCTATTCCAGTAAATTCGCACTCACACACAGTTGCACATGCATGTCCATTGTCACACTGCACTTGCTGAATTTCCTATCATTTCTCACCTCACCTATAGTTTATTACCTGTGCAAATTGTTCCTAGGTTTGTGCTATTTTTCTTACTATGCTTGTATCCTTGCTGTTTCACTCCAAGTGTATAAATCCTAGTGTAGTTTCATCATTCTCTTTAGTCACGAATTCCACTGATAATTGTGACAAGAAAACGTTCTGGAATACATTATTCGTCCCCATGGTTGTGATATGAGTGCGCATTTAGTTATAATTATTCATTGCATCATTAAGATTATTGTCTCCACGTCACCTTTTTAAATATCATTTAGAGTAGATAAAATAAAATATGGGTTCTCGTCACAGTGCAACACATGGGGAGTAAAATCTTTTATTGAATGATGAACAGGTGTATTTGCCCTGTAGCTGTTTCACCCTATTTCTGCCAAAATATACTGTACAAAGCGGCATAACCATAAGTCGAAGCAACAAAGCAGCACACTGCCCACCTTGGTTGTCTTGGTAATATCAAAGGTTAGTGGGGAAGGGGATCTTTGCGAAAACGGAATGTACAAAAGGGAACGCTAAGCTAATACAGTACACCCCATGCATGACGTTTTGAAGGACTAGTTGACTACAAAACAGGTATTTTCACACAGCATTTTGCTAATCTAGTCAACTTCAACGCCCAGTAATTGTCGACATTCCTTGTTCCCATGGAACGTTAGCTTGTACTCACTTTTTGTTGAACTAACCTTTCTTATTTTGGTCTTTTCTTCACCTAGTACCTTTCAAAGTGGCAGGCTGCCCGTTCGGGCTTCGGAAATGTGTTGGACTAGATGTCAGGACGTCAAATTTCCCAGTACTCTGTCAGTGTTGTGCCTAGTGGTGGCACGTTCGTTTTTTATAGTTATACGGAATCTAGTTGAAGCGGTGGACATTTACTCTTTTAAAACTCGTATACATATGTCCCTTTCCGTCTTGCATTGACTGTATATGTGGCTCATCATCAGAGTTTAATTGTCATGTAACAGATATATTTGCAACAGATATCTTTGCAACTGTGGTTCTCGTAGCCATGGCTGACAGTTCAATCCTATTCTCGGATTTGCACTGATGAGGCCTACTTGATCGAAACAGTCTGGCTGTCTGCAGCATTGAATATTTCGCTCCTCGATTTAGGGTTTGTGGAGCACTCTCAATAGGACGCACTTGCGCTGGTTAGCTTTATGCTGTGCCCGTGACTTCTGGCAGTTTGAGCACTGCCAGCACTAGTACATCGAGCTGTCCTAATGTCTGTTAAGTTCGGAGTTGCACTGACGAGGCTTCATTGGCCGAAACAGTCTGGCTGTCTGCAATATTGGATATCTTTGCAACACAAATTTCAGTCCAATGTCTGACATTCAGGATGCGATAATATTATATTTTTAATTTTTTTTTATGGACAAAGTGTCGGATATCCGCGCAAGAAATAGTTTTCAATACCCTGAGAATTGCCTAGAGGCTAGCGTCCTGCATTTTGCAGAGCACCAGAGACGAAAATCTTTCTTGTGACTGCGAGTTTTGCCTTAGCTCGAAGTCACGGAAAAGCATCTGGTCTCTGTTGTTGTGCCTCGGTGTTAAGTTAGTATTTTATCCCTATGTGTAGACACGAAATTATCATTACCTTACATGCCCAGAAACACTGTGGCTGAAAATATCTTACCCAAGATAGACAGCATTACGGTTGCATTGACAGTACGTATCATGTGACTGCTGCCATCAAATCCAGTATTGTTCACACTGCTTACAAATGTGTAGTGCCCACGGTCAGCATATTTCACATTTGTTAGAGGTAGTATGCTGGTATAAGATGCTGGAGAAGTTCTATTTCCAGACGAGGTCATAGTTGTATTGATCTGAGTGTGTGGAAGCTGAACACCATCATGGTACCATTCTATGTTTGGACTAGGGTATCCGTATGAAGTGCAGATAAATGATGAGGACGATCCTTCGACCAATGCCACATTATTGGGTCCCGTTGAGATTTGAGGAGGAACTAAATAAACGAAATTATTTTAGAATAGGTAAAAATTAATATAATGAGAGTACTCGTCACACGGCAACACGTGGGGACTAAAATCCTGATTGAATGATGAACAGACATATCTTCCCAGTAAATGTTTAAACCTATTTCCGCCACAGTATACTTGAAAGGGCTGTGTAACTGCAAGTAGAAGCAACAAAGCAGCGCACCGCCCACCTTGGTTGTCTTTGTAATAGCAGAGATAAATTGGGAAGGAGGATCAGTGCGAAAACGAATCTTCCAAAACCGAACCCAAAACTAATACAGTACTCCCCTGCCTGATGTCTGGATTAACTAGTTGACTACAAAACAAGTATTTGCACACAGCATTGTGCTGGTCTAGTCAACGTCAACTTCCAGTAATGGTCGGCATCCTTTGTTCCCATGGAACGTTAGCTTGAACTGATTTTTGTTTAGCAAACCTTTCCCCTTTTTGGTCTTTCCTTCACCTAGAACCCTTCGAGTTGGAAGGCTGCCTGTAAGAGCTATATGTAGATGTCAGGACGTCAAATGTCCCAGTACTCTGTCAGTGTTGTGCGTAGTGGTTGCACGTTCGTTTTTTATAAGTACAGAATCTAGTTACAGTGGTGGCCTACTACTACTAACTCGTATTCAAAGTCCCTTTTCTTCTTGCATTGACTGTATTTGTGGCTCATCATCATGCATCTCAGGTAGAATAAGGACACTTTTCTGGTGCCGCTGCACTTCAAGATCAGTGCTGCAACTTCATGTTACTAGGGAAACCACGGCGTTTGGCCGTGTTCGCCGCACTCAAGCACTCAACCTTTTTTCAAAATCTTGTTTTGAAAAATACTTCCAGTCTTTTGAAGTTTTGGCAGCACTTGGATTGGAGGCCAGTGACATCGCGATCTGTACAAGTATCGATCATGGCCATTGTCTTGTGTCGTTTTGAGCTCCAATAGTAAGCTTTCTCTGACGAAGGATTCAAATATCATGACGTTCTCTTTTATTGTGGTCATGAAGCTCCCCACTCGCAGCGGGGATGACAACAGACGGAATAAATGTGTTGAGTCGCGAGCAGGACTTACGCTGACAAAAGTTATTAGCTAGGCGCGACCTTGGGCATGTGATTGTGAGGACTCCAGTTCTAGCTGGGCAATACCCCACGGACACATCTAGCTTGAAGCGCAGGGTTGATTGAGAAAAATGACCAGGATCGTAAAGACGGCTACTTAAGTCTTTGCTTCCACAAAATGTTTTAGTACTGTAGCCGAGTCCATGCACTGAAAACTGCACTTGCCTTGTTTCTGTACATCACATCAGTACAGAGTGCACTTGCAAGACACTGACACCAGTGGGTGGGAGTCAAGTGCCCTACTCAAGTGCATGCATGCTCAGCTTGGGTGCATGCACGGTAGATCTGAAGTTAGTGTGTAGTGTGATGCACTACATTGTACAGCGCAGCATGCAATCAAGTAGTTTCTCTGAACAGAATTAATTGTAATTAATTTTGTAGTTAATCGTGCTCCTTCCTTGCTTGGCATCCCTACACATTACTGCATGTTTTATCTGTGTGTTCTTTACTGCTTGCTTACACATAGACACACCCATTTGAATTATATACATACTTTGTGCTTTGGAATTATCATGATGAGAGAAGGAAATATTAAAAAGAATCATAACATTGTTATGATTCTTTTTAATATTTCCTTCTCTCATAATATTAAATTTGTTCTTAGCAGAAACCGGAGGTTTTTCCTCTGGTGAGAAGGCAGAATTACCTGTGCTATTAACGAATTTGAATAAAAGAAACAAACAAACAAGTTTCACAGTCATTAGTGTGTATGAGACAATGCCGGCAATTTTGAAACAGAAATGACAGCTTCATCCATAAACGCAGAGCGTGGGGAATGTCTTTGGCGAATGAGAGCTGTTGCATTGGCTAGCTGTACGTCCCAGCATTCGGGAATGTGCTGGATATCTACATGTATGCTAAACACCCATTCTTGGCGGTGGTGAGTCTGAGCAGACCCCGAGGTACGACAGTTTTGTATACTAAATGCGTACAGTGCGTATGGTGAAACAAGTTGACATTTGTTTCCAGCGAAATGTTGTTATCTATGTAAAATATCCACCGCTATCCTTTATCTAGGGCCCAAAGGCTATCTAATTCACAAGGATTTGTTGCCTTACTATTTTTCGTTTTCTCTGTGTTTTGGGTTGAAATCTGAAGATAAAAAGTAGCCCTGATGACGTCATTCGGTTCATATTTGAAATTTGATACCCGAAATCTAAAAAATTTGCAACAAAAATTTCAGTCCAATGTGTGATATTTAGGGTGCGTTTGGTTGGTACGAACTAGAACAGGATTCACCAGAACAGCGCGTTTGGTTGGGACTGCACCTGTTCTGGGTCGGCCAGAACATGTTCTGCTTGCTCCGGCCTCCAGGCCGGAGCAGACCGAGCAGTTTCGCTTTTTCACAGTGAAACCTGGCAGGAATATCGATATTGGTCCCAAATGATCACGTGCATACGCTTTTGGGTTGGACTCGTTGTACCGTACAAAATGACCATGGTGACCCGTACACATTTTGAAGAATGCACCAAGTTTGGCACATTTTTCCACAAAAATGTGCTCTGTTTCTGGAGTACCGTTTGGTTGGCATGAGGCGGCTCCATGTGCACCAGCTGTTTGATCCTGTTCTAGATCGTACCAACCAAACGCACCCTTAGAGTGCGATATGTATAAAAATATCATGGACAAAATGTCTGAGATCCGCGCTACAAATAGTTTTCACTACCCTCAGAAGGGCCTAGCTTACTGCACAATGCAGAACATCAGAGACCAAAATCTTTCTTGTGACTGCGAGTTTTGCCTTAGCTCGAAGTCACGGAAAAGGTTCCGGTCTCTTTTGTTATGCCTCGGTGTTAAGTTAGTATTTTATCCTTATGTGTAGACACGAAATTATCATTATCTTACATGCCCAGAAACACTGCGGCTGAAAATATCTTACCCAAGATAGACAGCATTACGGTTGCATTGACAGTATGTATCATGTGACTGCTGCCATCAAATCCAGTATTGTTCACACTGCTCACACATGTGTAGTGCCCACGGTCAGCATAGTTCACATTTGTTAGAGGTAGTATGCTGGTATAAGATGCTGGAGAAGTTCTATTTCCAGACGACGTCATAGTTGTATTGATCTGAGTGTGTGGAAGCTGAACACCATCATGGTACCATTCTATGTTTGGACTAGGGTATCCGTATGAAGTGCAGGTAAATGATGAAGAGGACGATCCTTCAACCAGTGCTACATTGTTTGGTCCCGTTGAGATTTGAGGAGGTACTAAATTTAACAAACAACATTTAGAATAGATAAAATACAATTGTGGTACTCGTCACACTGCAACACGTGCGGACTAATATCTTAATTTTAATGATGAACAGGTGTATTTGCCCTGTAACTGTTTCACCCTATTTCTGCCACAACACCGTGGACAATGCGGTAAAACCTAAGTTAGAAGGAACAAAGCAGCATACTGCCCAACTTCGTTGTTTTGGTAATATCAAAGATAAATAGGGAAGGGGGATCGTTGCGAAAACCAAATGTACAAAACCGAACGCCAAACTAATACTGTTCTCCCCATTCATAACTTTTTGATTGACTAGTTGACTAGAAAACAAGTAGTTTCACACAGTATTGTGCTGGTCTAGTCAACGTCAAAATCCAGTAATGGTCGATATTCTTTGTTCCCATGGAAAGTTAGCTTGCACTACGTTTTGTTGAGCTAACCTTTCCATATTTGGTCTTTCTTTCACGTAGCACCTTTCGAGTTGGGAGTCTTCTGGTTAGCGCTTTCGAAATGTGTTGCAGCTAGATATCAGTACGTCAAATGTCCAAGTACTCCAGTGCTGTGTCAGCGTTGTGCCTAGTGGCTGCACGTTCTATTTTTATATCGAACGGTACCTAGTTACAGGGGTTGACATTTAGTCTTAACTCGTATAATAATAATAATAATAATAATAATAATTTGATAACCGCAATCAGTAATACAAGCTGGATCGACATTTGTGTACACTGTATTCATGTATTGTAAAACTGTGGAGACAATGTGCAATAAAACGATGAAAAAATGTGAAGAAATTGTGTAGAGAAAGAAAACTTTGAAACTTTGAATGCCGACAATGCGCTAGTCGGTATGTTGGTAGGACTGTTCAGCACCTGAACGCACGCATCAAACAACACACACCACGTCACATACTTCCACCTTGCGCACAACAACAAAGACCGAAGCGAGGGCGACCTAGAAAACAACCATTAACCACACAGCCGTTGCCTACACAACCCGCGGATCCTGGCTCTCAGACTGTGCTTGCTCCGCCGTCGTTGGTGGCGGTGGTGGAGGAGAATGGGCGTGGTGGCTCATCGGGTCGGCTTGTGTCGCCGCCTTTGCTCCGGCCGTCGGTGGTTCCCTCGTCAGTGCCCCCGGCGGCTTTGGCTGAGGCGGTGCCGCTTGCGGTCCCGGTCCCACTGCCTCCTCCTGATCCTCCGCCATCGGTTCTTGCGGCGGTGGAGCTTGCCAGTGGCAGACCGCGAGCAACACTGACAGCTGCATTAACACTACAAATGCCGACTCAAAAAGACCCACCCTGCATATCAGTAACTCCCACACCAACACCAACAACGCAATCTACAGCAACCACAACTAATCCACCATCCAAGCCCATAATTGAAAGACCAAGACGATCAACAGCCAACTACAACAGAAGCTACGCACTCAGCGGACGAGGGCGAAAGGAGGGACGTGATAGCAGGGGGACGGCCGAGTTGGGTTCAATGGACCCGGTCAGGCGGGATGGACGAGACAGAGAGAGTGCAGGGGAAGCGGAGGATGGAACGGACGGCGGAGGGAGCAGTGAGTCGGAGAGCAGTGATGGGAGTGATGGTGAGAGTGCCGGTGAGAGTGTTAGTGTTGTGCGTAGGTTTCGTGGTAGCAAGTCTTCAGTGTACAATCATCTGCTGGCTAGTCCTGATTGTTGCGGAGCGTATTCTGACTCTTCGTTCACTGTATTGTGCCGTGGTCGTCATGGTTATGGACTACAGTTAAAAGTGTTGGAAGCTATCTATCAGCGTCTGTACAAGCCTAATTTGTGTGTACAGAAAGATAGTATAATTGGGTTGAAATTGTTCAAGTAACGTGTCGTGTTTAGTGCGGCCAAGCTTGGCCGTTAATGTTCTAGGTGTAATGTACTGCTGTTATGTGTTATCACGTTGTCTTTCCTTCCTTTCTCCTTTGTTCATTTCTCGCTTTGATTGTTAAAATTCACACTTGTAAATTTCACTGTTGTTGCTCTTAGTGTTATTTCTCTAACTTAGATTTTCTATAATAGTTCAATTTTTGTTTCAGTGTCCTTTAGTACAACGATGATTCCTGATGAGTGTTGTACGAAAACTTGTTTGAATCCCTTTCTTTCTCTACACAATTTCTTCACATTTTTTCATCGTTTTATTGCACATTGTCTCCACAGTTTTACAATACATGAATACAGTGTACACAAATGTCGATCCAGCTTGTATTACTGATTGCGGTTATCAAATTGTTGTCTCCTCGCCGTTTGTTCAAATAATAATAATAATAATAATAGTTACAGTTCGCATGTCACTCATGGAAGGATCCATGGGCTTAACGCATCTGTCAACGAAATCCAGGCAGAAGAGCCGACAAAAGGCATCTCATTATTGTTAGAACGTATCGCAGTAAGAACAACTACGCAAGCGCAGCACATTTTCCACAAGCATCAGCCATTCTTTCTTGTCTAGAGCCAGTTCAAAACAGTCAGAAATATCAATATTGGCGTGCTTGAGATCACTTTTAATATTGTCAATCCATCTGAGATGGGGTCGGCCACTCGTATACATATGTCATTTTCCCTCCTGCATTGACTTTATTTGTGGCTCTTCAGCAGTTTCATTTTCAAGTTACAGTTATCTTTGCAACATAAATTTCAATGCGATGTTTTACATTTAATGTGCGATATGTTGTAAATTTCTTTTATGGACAAAGTGTCTGAGATCCGTGCTACAAATAGTTTTCAATACCCTGAGTAGGGACCAGCGTACTACACAAGGCAGACCATCAGAGACCAAAAATTTACTTGTGACTGCGAGTTTTGCCTTAACCCGAAGTCACGAGAATGGTTTTCGACTCTGTTTATCTGCCCCGGTATTAAGGTACTATTCACGGTATCCTTATGTGTAGACACGAAATCATCATTACCTTACATGCCCAGAAACACTGTGGCTGAAAATATCTTACCCAAGATAGACAGCATTACGGTTGCATTGACAGTATGTATCATGTGACTGCTGCCATCAAATCCAGTATTGTTCACTCTGCTTACAAATGTGTAGTGCCCACGGTCAGCATATTTCACATTTGTTAGAGGTAGTATGCTGGTATAAGATGCTGGAGAAGTTCTATTTCCAGACGACGTCATAGTTGTATTGATCTGAGTGTGTGGAAGCTGAACACCATCATGGTACCATTCTATGTTTGGACTAGGGTATCCGTATGAAGTGCAGGTAAATGATGAAGAGGACGATCCTTCAACTAGTGCTACATTATTTGGTCCCGTTGAGATTTGAGGAGGTACTAAATTTAACAAACAACATTTAGAATAGATAAAATACAATTGTGGTACTCGTCACACTGCAACACGTGCGGACTAATATCTTAATTTTAATGATGAACAGGTGTATTTGCCCTGTAACTGTTTCACCCTATTTCTGCCACAACACCGTGGACAATGCGGTAAAACCTAAGTTAGAAGGAACAAAGCAGCATACTGCCCAACTTCGTTGTTTTGGTAATATCAAAGATAAATAGGGAAGGGGGATCGTTGCGAAAACCAAATGTACAAAACCGAACGCCAAACTAATACTGTTCTCCCCATTCATAACTTTTTGATTGACTAGTTGACTAGAAAACAAGTAGTTTCACACAGTATTGTGCTGGTCTAGTCAACGTCAAAATCCAGTAATGGTCGATATTCTTTGTTCCCATGGAAAGTTAGCTTGCACTACGTTTTGTTGAGCTAACCTTTCCATATTTGGTCTTTCTTTCACGTAGCACCTTTCGAGTTGGGAGTCTTCTGGTTAGCGCTTTCGAAATGTGTTGCAGCTAGATATCAGTACGTCAAATGTCCAAGTACTCCAGTGCTGTGTCAGCGTTGTGCCTAGTGGCTGCACGTTCTATTTTTATATAGAACGGTACCTAGTTACAGAGGTTGACATTTAGTCTTAACTCGTATACATATGTCATTTTCCCTCCTGCATTGACTTTATTTGTGGCTCTTCAGCAGTTTCATTTTCAAGTTACAGTTATCTTTGCAACATAAATTTCAATGCGATGTTTTACATTTAAAGTGCGATATGTTGTAAATTTCTTTAACAACCACACAAGCCGACCTGTTTGGGAGCTATTACGCGTTGTATTATCAGGGCATAGGCAACAATTGCCGCATGCAGTATGCAATACTATGGACCAATGCCGTAGTATCGCAGGCAACAATTGCCGCATGCAGTATGCAATACTATGGACCAATGCCGTAGTATCGCAGGCAACAATTGCCGCATGCAGTATGCAATACTATGGACCAATGCCGTAGTATCGCAAGCACCAATGTGCGTTAGACTGGCCAATGCCAGGGCTAATGGGGGCAACAATTGCCCGGCGTGTCAATACACGCATACGGTAGGGATGCACTTGTGAGCACATGTAGGCGCACTTGGCTCAATGCCGGCCTGACCCACGATCCCTACCGTTCTCCCTTCCGGGATGGCTTAGAATAGAATGATGGTTAGAGATGATGGGGTGGGTGGTGGTGCTCAAAAACTGGCCAAGGTTGTCAAGCGATCTGACTGTTGGCGCAGCAAGGATGAAGAAGAAGCAGCATCGAGAGCCGGAGTAATGCGCATGCTCCGCGTGGTCCCGTGCCGGGGCGCGGGAGTTCGGAGTGCGTGTTCTGCACGGGCACGTGATGCGCTATGGCAAGTACGTGCAAATTATGTTAGGAATGTAATTGTTGGTGGGTTGCTAACTTCACTTACCGTGCCATGCACGGAAACTTATATTTAACAACCACACAAGCCGACCTGTTTGGGAGCTATTACGCGTTGTATTATCAGGGCATAGGCAACAATTGCCGCATGCAGTATGCAATACTATGGACCAATGCCGTAGTATCGCAGGCAACAATTGCCGCATGCAGTATGCAATACTATGGACCAATGCCGTAGTATCGCAGGCAACAATTGCCGCATGCAGTATGCAATACTATGGACCAATGCCGTAGTATCGCAGGCAACAATTGCCGCATGCAGTATGCAATACTATGGACCAATGCCGTAGTATCGCAAGCACCAATGTGCGTTAGACTGGCCAATGCCAGGGCTAATGGGGGCAACAATTGCCCGGCGTGTCAATACACGCATACGGTAGGGATGCACTTGTGAGCACATGTAGGCGCACTTGGCTCAATGCCGGCCTGACCCACGATCCCTACCGTTCTCCCAAAATACAACATGACCCAAACAGGAATTATCGGCATTACTATAGTTATAGTAGCGTTACTCTAGTTATAGTATAATAGGTATATCATATGTACACTACAGCTGTTGCTAGGGCCGTCCAATGCGGCTACCCATTAGCATAACGGGCAGAGACTAGAACAATGCCGCTGGCAATGCTCTGTCTGCGACAGGGGTGCGGACATAGCGGAGGTAGGCAGAGCTTTGCCACCTGCCGGCGGTCTTCAGCACGTACTCAGGCACGCCAGCTTTGCCTGCCAGCGTTGCAGCGCCTCGTCTGAGGCTGTGGCTGCGCACGTCTTTGTTAGGCAAGGCTGTTTGTAGTAGCCTGTTGATGTTATGCGGCTTCAGGGGCGTGCCGTCATCATAGCGATAGAGCGGGCCAGGTGCCGAGCCACGGGCTGCTAGGTAGCTGGTGGCTGCCGTGTGCGGGCATGTCGGCGAGCCTGTCCTCCTGACGCTAATGTCCTGGCCGCTGCCGTATTGGCTCGTCTTTGTCACACGCAGGCGCAGCTCCACGCGGTCTGGGTACATGGTCGCATCGCTGTACTCAAGGCCGGCGCCCCGTGCCGTGAAGGTGTACTCGTTGACTCTGAGCAGCCCGTGGAAGGCCAGAGTCACGGCGCTCCAGAGCATGGCGCGGTTGTGCGGGCTAGGCACGGTGGACTGCAGGTAGTGCTGTACGCCAGCCAGATCGTCCAAAGTTGCGGCCCGCGTTGTCAACTGCTGAAGGGTGGACTGCGCTGGTTGTGTCGGCAATGCGTCGGCAGTTGGGCTGCGAGTCCAGAAGCGTCGACAACCTGACCCAAATAGGATTTATCTACATTACTATTACACTACAATTGATGTGAGTGCCGTCCAATGCGGCTGCCCATTAGCATAGTGGGCGATGTGCTCGAAGTACAGGATCTGGAACAATGCTGCCGGCACTGATCAGTCCCTGAGGTTGGCTTGCCCTGGCGCAGGGCGACAAGCGTTCGGAGTGCTGCGGCGAAGCGCATGCCATGCTGGAGCTGTCCGCCAGGCCCTGGCGGATGAGGTCCATGGTTGCGTCGTCAACTGCTGGAGGGTGGACTGCGCTGGTTGTGTCGGCACCACTTCGGCAGTTGGGATGCGAGTCCGGCAGCGCTGACAACCTGACCCAAACAGGATTTATCTGCATTACTATTACACTGCATTTGATGTGAGTGCCGTCCAATGCGGCTAGCCATTAGCACAGTGAGCAATGCACTCAAAGTACAGGATCTGGAACAATGCTGCCGGCACTGATCAGTCCCTGAGTGTGGCTTGCCCTGGCGCAGGGCGACAAGTGTTCGGAGCGCGGCAGCGAAGCGCATGTTATGCTGGAACTGGCCGCCAGGCTCTGGCGGATGAGGTCCATGGTTGCGTCGTCAACTGCTGGAGGGTGGACTGTGCAGGGTGTGTCAGCACTGCGTCGGTAGATGGGCTGAGAGTCCGGAAGCGCTGTACTCGAAGACGAGTAAGAGACTTAGCAGGATCATTGCAGAGTCGCCGTTGGGCTGAGAGTCCACATCAGCCGGTCTGTTGAACGGAAGGGGGAGGATCTAAGGCCAAATGGTGGTGCCTTATCTACATGGTACGAACCTTCCAAAAAATGCCAAGCCGGGGCCAGACATGAGGGGAAACAGACCAAAGCCGCCAGGCATACTTCGTGTCAGCTTTAGAGAGGAGAGCTCAGCATCAGGGACCTAAATTTCCGAGCCATCTTCAAGATTATGGGCTGGTGCGAAAACAGCTCCGGGGGCCCTGGAGGGGTGTGCTGCTGCGTCAGTCGCACAATACGTGCTCCAAGCGTCGCGAACCTCCTCCCGACTAAAGTCTCCCAGGCCAGGGATGGGGCTGCAGTTGCCTCGGCTAGGTTCTGCTCCGCTGCCGGAGCGGCCAAGTCCTCGCGTACAGTAGTCTGGAGCCAACTTCAACTCGAGCAGGCGAGTCCGCGGAGTAGGTTTTGTTCCTGTCGGGTCTAAATAATTGCGGGATGCCAGTGCGTTTCGCAGCTCAGCAGAGCGCATTTTGGCTGGACATCGCTCACTGACAGAGACATGGTTGATCGGATATTGATCAGAAACTGGCCGCGATTGTCAAACAATTTGACCGTCAAGGCAGCAAAGCAAAGAGCGTTATGGCTGGACATCGCTCACTGACAGAGACATGGTTGATCGGATATTGATCAGAAACTGGCCGCGATTGTCAAACAATTTGACCGTCACTGCGTCAGCGCAGCAAAGCAAACGGAGCGTTTTGGCTGGACATCGCTCACTGACAGAGACCTGGTTGATCGGATATTGATCAGAAACTGGCCGCGATAGTCAAACAATTTGACCGTCAGCACAGCAAAGCGAAGAGCAAGCTCAAAAACTGGCCAAGGTTGTCAAGCGATCTGACTGTTGGCGCAGCAAGGATGAAGAAGAAGCAGCATCGAGAGCCGGAGTAATGCGCATGCTCCGCGTGGTCCCGTGCCGGGGCGCGGGAGTTCGGAGTGCGTGTTCTGCACGGGCACGTGATGCGCTATGGCAAGTACGTGCAAATTATGTTAGGAATGTAATTGTTGGTGGGTTGCTAACTTCACTTACCGTGCCATGCACGGAAACTTATATTTTATGGACAAAGTGTCTGAGATCCGTGCTACAAATAGTATTCAATACCCTGAGTAGGGCCTAGCGTACTACACAAGGCAGACCATCAGAGACCAAAAATTTACTTGTGACTGCGAGTTTTGCCTTAACCCGAAGTCACGAGAATGGTTTTCGACTTTGTTTATCTGCCCCGGTATTAAGGTACCATTGTATCCTTATGTGTAGACACGAAATCATCATTACCTTACATGCCCAGAAACACTGTGGCTGAAAATATCTTACCCAAGATAGACAGCATTACGGTTGCATTGACAGTATGTATCATGTGACTGCTGCCATCAAATCCAGTATTGTTCACTCTGCTTACAAATGTGTAGTGCCCACGGTCAGCATATTTCACATTTGTTAGAGGTAGTATGCTGGTATAAGATGCTGGAGAAGTTCTATTTCCAGACGACGTCATAGTTGTATTGATCTGAGTGTGTGGAAGCTGAACACCATCATGGTACCATTCTATGTTTGGACTAGGGTATCCGTATGAAGTGCAGGTAAATGATGAAGAGGACGATCCTTCAACTAGTGCTACATTATTTGGTCCCGTTGAGATTTGAGGAGGTACTAAATTTAACAAACAACATTTAGAATAGATAAAATACAATTGTGGTACTCGTCACACTGCAACACGTGCGGACTAATATCTTAATTTTAATGATTGTGGTACTCGTCACACTGCAACACGTGGGGACTAATATCTTAATTTTAATGATGAACAGGTGTATTTGCCCTGTAACTGTTTCACCCTATTTCTGCCACAACACCGTGGACAATGCGGTAAAACCTAAGTTAGAAGGAACAAAGCAGCATACTGCCCAACTTCGTTGTTTTGGTAATATCAAAGATAAATAGGGAAGGGGGATCGTTGCGAAAACCAAATGTACAAAACCGAACGCCAAACTAATACTGTTCTCCCCATTCATAACTTTTTGATTGACTAGTTGACTAGAAAACAAGTAGTTTCACACAGTATTGTGCTGGTCTAGTCAACGTCAAAATCCAGTAATGGTCGATATTCTTTGTTCCCATGGAAAGTTATGGAAAGTTAGCTTGCACTACGTTTTGTTGAGCTAACCTTTCCATATTTGGTCTTTCTTTCACGTAGCACCTTTCGAGTTGGGAGTCTTCTGGTTAGCGCTTTCGAAATGTGTTGCAGCTAGATATCAGTACGTCAAATGTCCAAGTACTCCAGTGCTGTGTCAGCGTTGTGCCTAGTGGCTGCACGTTCTATTTTTATATAGAACGGTACCTAGTTACAGGGGTTGACATTTAGTCTTAACTCGTATACATATGTCATTTTCCCTCCTGCATTGACTTTATTTGTGGCTCTTCAGCAGTTTCATTTTCAAGTTACAGTTATCTTTGCAACATAAATTTCAATGCGATGTTTTACATTTAAAGTGCGATATGTTGTAAATTTCTTTTATGGACAAAGTGTCTGAGATCCGTGCTACAAATAGTTTTCAATACCCTGAGTAGGGCCCTGCGTACTACACAAGGCAGACCATCAGAGACCAAAATCTTACTTGTGACTGCGAGTTTTGCCTTAACCCGAAGTCACGACAATGGTTTTCGACTCTGTTTATCTGCCCCGGTATTAAGGTACTATTGTATCCTTATGTGTAGACACGAAATCATCATTACCTTACATGCCCAGAAACACTGTGGCTGAAAATATCTTACCCAAGATAGACAGCATTACGGTTGCATTGACAGTATGTATCATGTGACTGCTGCCATCAAATCCAGTATTGTTCACTCTGCTTACAAATGTGTAGTGCCCACGGTCAGCATATTTCACATTTGTTAGAGGTAGTATGCTGGTATAAGATGCTGGAGAAGTTCTATTTCCAGACGACGTCATAGTTGTATTGATCTGAGTGTGTGGAAGCTGAACACCATCATGGTACCATTCTATGTTTGGACTAGGGTATCCGTATGAAGTGCAGGTAAATGATGAAGAGGACGATCCTTCAACTAGTGCTACATTATTTGGTCCCGTTGAGATTTGAGGAGGTACTAAATTTAACAAACAACATTTAGAATAGATAAAATACAATTGTGGTACTCGTCACACTGCAACACGTGCGGACTAATATCTTAATTTTAATGATGAACAGGTGTATTTGCCCTGTAACTGTTTCACCCTATTTCTGCCACAACACCGTGGACAATGCGGTAAAACCTAAGTTAGAAGGAACAAAGCAGCATACTGCCCAACTTCGTTGTTTTGGTAATATCAAAGATAAATAGGGAAGGGGGATCGTTGCGAAAACCAAATGTACAAAACCGAACGCCAAACTAATACTGTTCTCCCCATTCATAACTTTTTGATTGACTAGTTGACTAGAAAACAAGTAGTTTCACACAGTATTGTGCTGGTCTAGTCAACGTCAAAATCCAGTAATGGTCGATATTCTTTGTTCCCATGGAAAGTTAGCTTGCACTACGTTTTGTTGAGCTAACCTTTCCATATTTGGTCTTTCTTTCACGTAGCACCTTTCGAGTTGGGAGTCTTCTGGTTAGCGCTTTCGAAATGTGTTGCAGCTAGATATCAGTACGTCAAATGTCCAAGTACTCCAGTGCTGTGTCAGCGTTGTGCCTAGTGGCTGCACGTTCTATTTTTATATAGAACGGTACCTAGTTACAGGGGTTGACATTTAGTCTTAACTCGTATACATATGTCATTTTCCCTCCTGCATTGACTTTATTTGTGGCTCTTCAGCAGTTTCATTTTCAAGTTACAGTTATCTTTGCAACATAAATTTCAATGCGATGTTTTACATTTAAAGTGCGATATGTTGTAAATTTCTTTTATGGACAAAGTGTCTGAGATCCGTGCTACAAATAGTTTTCAATACCCTGAGTAGGGCCCTGCGTACTACACAAGGCAGACCATCAGAGACCAAAATCTTACTTGTGACTGCGAGTTTTGCCTTAACCCGAAGTCACGACAATGGTTTTCGACTCTGTTTATCTGCCCCGGTATTAAGGTACTATTGTATCCTTATGTGTAGACACGAAATCATCATTACCTTACATGCCCAGAAACACTGTGGCTGAAAATATCTTACCCAAGATAGACAGCATTACGGTTGCATTGACAGTATGTATCATGTGACTGCTGCCATCAAATCCAGTATTGTTCACTCTGCTTACAAATGTGTAGTGCCCACGGTCAGCATATTTCACATTTGTTAGAGGTAGTATGCTGGTATAAGATGCTGGAGAAGTTCTATTTCCAGACGAGGTCATAGTTGTATTGATCTGAGTGTGTGGAAGCTGAACACCATCATGGTACCATTCTATGTTTGGACTAGGGTATCCGTATGAAGTGCAGGTAAATGATGAAGAGGACGATCCTTCAACTAGTGCTACATTATTTGGTCCCGTTGAGATTTGAGGAGGTACTAAATTTAACAAACAACATTTAGAATAGATAAAATACAATTGTGGTACTCGTCACACTGCAACACGTGCGGACTAATATCTTAATTTTAATGATGAACAGGTGTATTTGCCCTGTAACTGTTTCACCCTATTTCTGCCACAACACCGTGGACAATGCGGTAAAACCTAAGTTAGAAGGAACAAAGCAGCATACTGCCCAACTTCGTTGTTTTGGTAATATCAAAGATAAATAGGGAAGGGGGATCGTTGCGAAAACCAAATGTACAAAACCGAACGCCAAACTAATACTGTTCTCCCCATTCATAACTTTTTGATTGACTAGTTGACTAGAAAACAAGTAGTTTCACACAGTATTGTGCTGGTCTAGTCAACGTCAAAATCCAGTAATGGTCGATATTCTTTGTTCCCATGGAAAGTTAGCTTGCACTACGTTTTGTTGAGCTAACCTTTCCATATTTGGTCTTTCTTTCACGTAGCACCTTTCGAGTTGGGAGTCTTCTGGTTAGCGCTTTCGAAATGTGTTGCAGCTAGATATCAGTACGTCAAATGTCCAAGTACTCCAGTGCTGTGTCAGCGTTGTGCCTAGTGGCTGCACGTTCTATTTTTATATAGAACGGTACCTAGTTACAGGGGTTGACATTTAGTCTTAACTCGTATACATATGTCATTTTCCCTCCTGCATTGACTTTATTTGTGGCTCTTCAGCAGTTTCATTTTCAAGTTACAGTTATCTTTGCAACATAAATTTCAATGCGATGTTTTACATTTAAAGTGCGATATGTTGTAAATTTCTTTTATGGACAAAGTGTCTGAGATCCGTGCTACAAATAGTTTTCAATACCCTGAGTAGGGACCAGCGTACTACACAAGGCAGACCATTAGCGACCAAAAATTTACTTGTGACTGCGAGTTTTGCCTTAACCCGAAGTCACGACAATGGTTTTCGACTCTGTTTATCTGCCCCGGTATTAAGGTACTATTGTATCCTTATGTGTAGACACGAAATCATCATTACCTTACATGCCCAGAAACACTGTGGCTGAAAATATCTTACCCAAGATAGACAGCATTACGGTTGCATTGACAGTATGTATCATGTGACTGCTGCCATCAAATCCAGTATTGTTCACTCTGCTTACAAATGTGTAGTGCCCACGGTCAGCATATTTCACATTTGTTAGAGGTAGTATGCTGGTATAAGATGCTGGAGAAGTTCTATTTCCAGACGAGGTCATAGTTGTATTGATCTGAGTGTGTGGAAGCTGAACACCATCATGGTACCATTCTATGTTTGGACTAGGGTATCCGTATGAAGTGCAGATAAATGATGAGGACGATCCTTCGACCAATGCCACATTATTGGGTCCCGTTGAGATTTGAGGAGGAACTAAATAAACGAAATTACATTTAGAATAGGTAAAAATTAATATAATGAGAGTACTCGTCACACGGCAACACGTGGGGACTAAAATCCTGATTGAATGATGAACAGACATATCTTCCCAGTAAATGTTTAAACCTATTTCCGCCACAGTATACTTGAAAGGGCTGTGTAACTGCAAGTAGAAGCAACAAAGCAGCGCACCGCCCACCTTGGTTGTCTTTGTAATAGCAGAGATAAATTGGGAAGGAGGATCAGTGCGAAAACGAAATGTACAAAACCGAACGCCAAGCTAATACAGTACTCCCCGTGCATGACGTTTTGAAGGACTAGTTGACTACAAAACAAGTATTTGCACACAGCATTGAACTCGTCTTATCAACGTCAAATTCCAGTAATGGTCGGCATCCTTTGTTCCCATGGAACGTTAGCTTGAACTGATTTTGTTGAGCAAACCTTTCCCTTTTTGGTCTCTCTTTTACCTAGAACCTTTCGAGTTGGAAGGCTGCCGGTGAGCGCTTCGGAAATGTGTTGGAGCTAGATGTCAGGACGTCAAATGTCCCAGTACTCAGTCAGCGTTGTGCCTAGTGGTTACACGTTTGTTGTTTATAGTACAGAATCTAGTAACAGTGGTGGACATTTACTCTTAACTCGTATACATATGTCCCTTTCGTTCTTGCATTGCCTGTATTTGTGGCTCATCATCATGCAGATTCATTTTCATGTTACAAAATTAATATCTTTGCAACATTAATTTCAGGGCGACTGTTGACATCTAGAGTGCGATATGTTTTAAATTTCCTTTATTGACGAAGTGTCCGAGATCTGTGCCACAAAAGTCTACAATACCGTTAAGAGCAGAGCGTACTACACAAGGCAGAAAATCAGAGAACAAAAACTCACTGGTTACAGGAAGTTTCGTCTTCGCACGACATCACGAGAAAGGTTTTTGTCTCTGTTCTTCTGCTTCGGTGTTAAGTTAGTATATTATCCTTATGTGTAGACACGAAATAATCATTATCTTACATGCTCAGAAACACTGTGGCTGAAAATATCTTACCCAAGATAGACAGCTTTACGGTTGCATTGACATTACGTATCATGTGACTTCGGCCATCAAATCCAGTATTGTTGACACTGCTCACACATGTGTAGTGCCCACGGTCAGCATATTTCACATTCGTCAAAGGAAGTATGCTGGTATAAGATGCTGGAGAAGTTCTATTTCCAGACGAGGTCATGGTTGTATTGATCTGAGAGTGTGGAAGCTGAACACCATCATGGTACCATTCTATGTTTGGACTAGGGTATCCGTATGAAGTGCAGGTAAATGATGAAGAGGACAATCCTCCGACCAATGCCACAATATTTGGTCCCGTTGAGATTTGAGGAGGAACTAAATATAACAAATATCATTTAGAGTAGATAAAATGAAATATGGGTTCTCGTCACACTGCAACGCATGGGAAGTAAAATCTTAATTGAATGATGAACAGGTGTATTTGCCCTGTAACTGTTTCACCCTATTTCTGCCAAAATATATTGGACAAAGCGGCATAACTATAAGTCGAAGCAACAAAGCAGCACACTGACCACCTTGGTTGTCTTGGTAATATCAAAGGTTAGTGGGGAAGGGGATCTTTGCGAAAACGAAATGTACAAAGGGGAACGCTAAGCTAATACAGTACACCCCATGCATGACGTTTTGAAGGACTAGTTGACTACAAAAGAGGTATTTTCACACAGCATTTTGCTAATCTAGTCAACTTCAACGTCCAGTAATTGTCAACATTCCTTGTTCCCATGGAACGCTACCTTGTACTCACTTTTTGTTGAACTAGCCTTTCTTATTTTGGTCTTTTCTTCACCTAGTACCTTTCAAATTGGCAGGCTGCCCGTTCCGGGTTCGGAAATGTGTTCGAACTAGATGTCAGGACATCAATTGTCTCAGTACTCTGTCAGCGTTGTGCCTAGTGGTGGCACGTTCGCTTTTTATAGTTGTACGGAATCTAATTACAGCGGTGGACATTTCCCTGAACTCGTACACATTATGTCCCAAACCGTCTTCCATTGACTGTATATGTGGCTCATCATCAGAGTTTAATTTTCATGTTACGGATATATTTGCAACAGATATCTTTGCAACTGTGGTTCTCGTAGCCATGGCTGACAGTTCAATCCTATTTTAAGCTCGGATTTGCACTGATGAGGCCTAATTGACCGAAACAGTCTGGCTGTCTGCATCATTGGGCGCTTTCGATTACCCGTTTACACAATTCTGGAACTGTTTTTTTTAATTCTGGAAGGACCAGAATGAGCGTATTCCGGCCTTGTAAACGAACGACTGGAATTCACAACGCATTTTATTCATGTCATGTCACAAGCGAAATTGATGAATCGCAAAAAGAGATCACGTACACCCTCGTGATCGATCGGGCGCACGTGGACCTAGCATCGCGCACACGCCGGCCAGGGAGGCTCTTCGCGCGCTTGAGTCATGACCAAACCGGTAACACACCGACAGTGCAATTCTGGCGCAAGAATTAGAGAAATTCCGCCTTCTCTTCAGAATTGATGGATTCGACGGAATTGGATAAAATCAATTCTAACGACGGAATTTGTCACTTTTTGTGTAATCGAACTGTGCATCAACAATAACTTATTCTAGAATTGACCGAAACGCGTGTAATCGAAAGCGCCCATTGAGTATTTCACTCCTCGATTTCGGTTTTGTGGAGCACTCTCAATAGGACGCACTTGCGCTAGTAAGCTTTATGCTTTGCCCGCGACTTCTGGCAATTTGAGCACTGTCAGCGCTAGTACATCGAGCTGTCCTAATGTCTGTGGTTCTCGTAGCCATGGCTGACAGTTCAATCCTATTTTAAGTTTGGAGTTGCACTGACGAGGTTTCATTGGCCGAAACAGTCTGGCTGTCTGCAATATTGGATATCCTAGTGAAGCAGCGGCGAAGGGCCTACACGGGAAGTCTAAAACATAACAACCACGCACTCACAAGCAAGCCGGAGAGTTCCAAGTTCTTTAACCTGACCGGTTTCTGTGACATGAGTCACTTCATCAGAGGAATGAAGATAGATGACTTAACACAAGCATCTGCATGCGGCACTCACACAACGAGCAACCAGTTTGGGGAATAGGAGGGTTTGTCAATTGCTTTGCCAGGCTCCGAGTGAGTGACAGCTTAGAGCTGTGTGAATGTGTGTGTATGGCAGCTGGGCAGGGCCCTGCTGCGGAGGCTGAGTGAGCCGTATGGAGGCAGCTGGGCAGGGCCCAGCTGCGGAGGCTGAGTGAGCCGTATTGAGAGGCTGAGTGAGCCGAGGCTGAGTGAGCCGTCTGAGTGAGCCGTCTGAGTGTTAGAGGCTGAATGAGCCGTATGAGGAGCCTGGTAAGCAAGGTTGACTCCCCAAATAGAGAACCTCCTATTCACTGTTAACTGCAGAGGGGGTGCCACAGATTGTGGACAATAGTAGAGTGATATTGAGTTACTGAGTGTACAGTCGGTACATTGGTGACATTCGGTTGTGCTCTGGCACCCACAATATGTGGGCTCAGTCTGTCTGATCAGCGCTTACCCAGGACCGGTGCTGCCAGCTTTCATGGCAGTTTGCATGTGGACTTTCGTCACTCGGCAGTGCTGACAGCGTCAGGTTGTACAGCGCGGCGGCACGTGCACAGTCGTCACAGGTGCGAGCACGGGATAACACATGGGGAGGCCCCAGCCAGCAGGCCAGTACTACACGACCCCAAACAAGTCACCCAGGCACTCAGGTCACGTCGTACTATGAAAACCGGCCCAAGCGCTCTGATCAACTACAGGGAGGATCCCGCACAAAATGTTGTGCTTTGTATGTAGGCAATGTCAATAGTGGGTGCACATCAGAATCGATCGCCAAATGGTGTGAACGCCGAAATATACCTGTCATCAAGTGCTCCGTGTCTGAGACAAAGTACTTCGGGTTGGCCTTTGCTCACGTAATTCTACCAATACAACACAAAGCTACTGTTCTGGAACCGGAATTCTGGCCTTCAAACGTCAGAGTTCGAGAATGGCGCTTCAAGGCTGACAGTGTAGCAACTGGTCGAGCTGCAGAGGAGCACTAAATGTTCTGTTTAAATCCTCACGCAGCCCCCTTTCAACCCTTGAACCCTCATGCACCTATCTTTCAGCCACGAAATAGTTGCCCCACTGTAAATCCCCTACAGCATGAATTAATTAAAAGTAACCTCAAAATAGGATTCCTAAATGTTTGCCATCTTCTCAATAAAAAGCATGACATTGAAGATTATATTCTTTCCCATAAAGTTGATATAATGATGCTGGCAGAGACTTTCCTAACAACCTCCGTTTCCGATGACATCCTACGCATACAGAATTACACCCTGGTCAGACGCGACAGGCCAACTCATGGCGGAGGCTTAGCAGCATATGTAAGAGATCATCTCCGAGCCCGAATTGTGAAGGCTGACACCCAGGTGGAAATGCTCATGTTAGAGGTCAGTGGGCAGCGTTCCAAGGTTCTCCTTGGTGGTGTGTACCGTCCTCCAGGCACTCCTGTGCAATTCTGGCAAGACTTGACGAATGCACTAGACACTGTCATCTCCACACTTCCCACATCACCTCTGGTCCTTGTTGGAGACTTCAATGTCGATGTAAGCTCCCGCGACAGCCCCCAGCTAAACAGCTTGCTGCACCTGTGTAATTCTTTCGACATCAAGAACCAAGTGGACAGTCCTACCAGAATTGGACCCCAAGGCAGCCAAACAACCCTGGATCTCGCTCTGGTCGGAGACGATCATGTGAACTCTTGTGTCGTAGTACCTTGTACAATCAGTGACCACTTCGCTCTGGCACTTGATTTGCGACTCACAACGTCCTGCACACCGACCGTGCGACGTGGCCGTAACATTGCAAGAATTGATATGGGTCAATTTGCACACCACCTTCTAAATAGCGATCTAGAGAACTTCTGCTTTGCGCGGACAGAAGATGAAATGTGGGATATGTGGCTGGAGAAACTTGTCGCGGCCTTGAACACTCATGCTCCTATCCGTCTACACCGCCCAAGAGCTCCTACCCGGAAATCCTTCCCCTGGAAGACGCCAGCTCTACATGACCTAGTCCAGCGACGTGACGCGGCCCATCGACGGTGGAAAGCATCACCTGCAGACCCGGCACTACGCAATGTCTTCACTTCTGCCCGAGACGAAGCCAAGCGTATGTCACGACATCTCCGAGCCATCTACTTTAGGGACCTTCTTGCTGCTAGTCAGGCCAACGCACGAAAAACCTGGCAGACCATCAACTACCTCAGCGGTCGTAACAAGTCCTCAGTTCCACCAGCCGTCAGTGTCTCACAGCTCAGTGACCAATTCAGTGGTGTTGTGTCAGACCCAACTAGACCACTACGTCTCTCAGCCCCATTGGGTCCCACGAAGAAGGAATGCCTCGAAGAATTTGCTCCAGCAAGTGTGCAAGAGATCGCTAAGCTGCTCTCCAACATCGACGTGCGCAAAGCTGCAGGCAGCGACCAGGTTCCAGCTGCAATCCTCAAACACTGTTCTCCTGTCCTTGCACCGTCCCTCACCATACTAATCAATGCATCTCTGGCTTCTGGTGTTGTTCCTGCATCTCTGAAGATTGCGGATGTTCGTCCCCTCTTCAAGTCAGGCGACAAAGCTGTCGCTAAGAACTATAGACCAATATCGTTATTACCAATAGTTTCCAAAGTCCTAGAACGGGTAGTCCACACGAGACTCTGTAAGTTCCTCTCCGGAAATTCCTTGTTCCCCGCAAACCAGTTCGCATATCGCCCACTTCACTCCACAGAAGATGCCCTGACATTGGCTGTAGACAGATACTTGGAGGCAGCGGATCAGCAGCGCCATACAGGTCTTGTACTTGTCGATATGAGCAAGGCCTTCGATAAGGTCAAACATCAAATTTTGGTTACAGATCTATTTCAGCTTGGTATTACCTCAACGGCTCTCAGTTGGTTCATGAGCTACCTAACTGACCGCCGTCAGCGAGTCGTCCTGAGCAATGGCCAGTCGTCCGCCCTCTCTCCCTGTGAGTGTGGTGTTCCTCAGGGAAGTGTGCTGGGTCCTCTTTTGTTCTCCATCTACACAATGGAAATAGAACAGATCACAGCTCCAGCCCACACACAGCTGTTTGCTGATGATATCCTGCTAGACGCCATCAGTCAATCCGTCGAATTCTTGAATTTAACCCTCTCCCGTTCAGTCTCCAACCTGGCCAACTTTCTGGAAGAAAGAGGCTTAATACTAAATCCCTCCAAAACCCACGTTCTAGCCCTTCATGCGTCTCGCAGGCAGCCCTTGTTACTTAA